AATTCTTTCCAGTCGTTTGCCCATTTTGTAATTGGGTTATCAGTTTTTATCTTCAGGGGCTCAGAAGTCTTCTGTAAACTTTTGTCATGAAACCCTTTTGTTATGAGACCCTTTTCTGAGATGGTATTGCCAAATGTTTACTCCCATTTGGTAAGTTTTTCACCTTGTTTGGAAAGCTTTATTGAGCATAGAGATTTAATTTTTAGAAAATCCCTTTCATCAATTTTATCCTCTCTAAGATTGTGCATTTCTGGCTATATTTGGCAGTCTTTTTACACCATAGACTAGGCCATCTAAGTTTGATCCCAGTTTGTCTATGGTGAACTTTATGGTTTTGGCCTTTACTCCCAGGTCTCTGACCCACCCTGAGTTGATATTTGTGTATGGTGTGAGACGTAGATCCTATTTCAGCTTTCTGCAGGTAGCAGTCCAATTCTGCCAGCACCAATTGTTGATGAAGTTGTAATTTCCCCATTTGATAGGTTTTATTACCTTGTCAAATATTAGTTGACTACAGATAGATGGGTTCATTTCTGTTCCATTGGTCTGTGTGCCTGTCATTGTACCAGTACCATGCTGTTTTGATTGCTACCACTGTGTAGTAGGTTTTGAGGAAAGGTGGTGCTATGCCTCCTACTTCATTTTTCTTTTCAGAAGTGCTTTAGGTCTCTTTTCTCTCCAAATGATCTTGACAATTTCCCTTTCAATCTTAAAAAATGAAATTTGGTATCTGGATTGGGATTGTGTTGAACATGTAGATTGCTTTTGGTGGGATTTTATTTTCACAATATTGAGTCTTCCTGTCCATGAACTAGACACATCTTTCCGTTTATTTAGGTCTTTGTGTGTGTGTGTGTGTGTGTGTGTGTGTGTGCGTGTCTCACAGAAAACTTCTTTAGTTTTCTTTGTACAGGTCTTTTGTGTCTTTAGTTAGGTTCACTCTTGGGTATCTCAATTTGTGGTTGGCTATTGTAAAAAGTATTGCTTTCTTGGTTTTCTTCTCTGATTTATCTTGATCACGTGTTACTTCCTGAAAAGATTCAGGGTAATTTTGGTTTTTTTGGAACAGTGATTTTGCATAGTCCTTCCATCTTCTTTTGATGCTTTCTTGTCATTCAATACTTTTGTCCATAGAAGCCCCAAGTATTGCAGCTCAAATCTTTAGTTTGTTCTTAGTTCTTCCAGTTTGAGAAGTATTCTGTAAGTTTTTTTTCTGTAGTTTTCTAGCTCCAAGACTTTGCACATTGCATTATAATGTTCCCTCTGTTTCCTTAAAATGTTTATGAAAGTCTTTTCAGCTATCTAATTTCATTATTTCCCTTTACTTTCTTTCCATTCAAAAGCAAGTTTCAAGGTTTATCCTTAACTTTACTTTGGTATTTTCTTCCTTATAGTTTAAATAATCTAGTACTTCCTTCATGTAAAATATCCTTGATGTCATCCTAAAAGTATTGTTGTCTTCTCTCATTAATGCTCCATGGATAAAATCTTGAGGTGGTTTTAAAATTCAGGTAAGGTAAAATCAAGTTTATATTTTGGCTCTTGTGCATTTGTTTTAAATTTCCTTAGGTTAAAAAAGACCTTGCTCATGACTTTAAGCCTTTTCAGCAGAAGCTCAAGGACTTTCACCATAAAAATGGATTGCATCTCAACATCAAGAAAACAAAGATCCTCACCACTGAGCCAACTGACATATCATGATAGATGGAGATGATAGCTAGATGGAGAAAAGATTGACGTTGTTAACAATTTCATCTTACTCAAATCCACAACCAACTCCCAACAAACAAAAGATAAATTGTTTTGAGAAAGTTTGTTATCAAGGACATCTCCAGAAAGCTAATAAATAATGAAGTCAGTCTAGAGACTAAGGAGTGCCTGAACCAGTCGATACTCTTCTCAGTTACTTACTGCGTATCTGTGAGATGAACAATGACTAAGGATGACAGGAGAAGAATCAATGTCTTTGAATTATGGTGTTGGAGAAGAGTATTGAACATACCACAAATGCAAAGAGAACAATTTGTTCTGGAGAAGGCACAACCAGGTTACTCTTTGGAGGCAAAGATTTTGAAGTTCAATCTGACATACTTTGGGCATGTTGCCAGGAGGGACCAATCTTTGGAGAAGGACATCATGCTTGGAATGGCACAGGGTCTTCTCAAGAGAAAAAGACCCTAGATGAAATGGATTGACATAGTGACGATGGCAGTGATGTCAAGTGTGCCAGAAATTGTGAAGTTGGTCTAAGAGAGGGCAAGGTTCAGAGCTGTTAATCATAAGGTCACTCTGAGTTGTAGTTGATGCAATGGCACATAATAATAACAACAATAATACTATAAAGTTGGTTACAGCTTATAGCACACTTCTCTTGTGTTTCTATGGCTGTAAATCTTTACAAAAGGAGACTGATCCTCTTTCATCAATGGAATGGCTTCTTGTTGTTGTTGTTGTTGTTAAGTAACATCGAGTCATAGATGACTCATAGCAACCCTATGAATGAAAGACCTGGACACGTGTATAGCTTTCATCCTTTTTCCAGGTTCATAGGGTTTCCGGAGGCAAGCTATTTCATAAGTGGATGCCACTCCTGCTTCCAAGCTTGTTTTAATTGGTGAGCTCCACCAAACACTGTCCACCATGGGTAACCATTCTCACATTTGACACATCAGTGTCACAGTGTTCAGCTTCACAGAAACCACAAGTTACCTCTGAATAGCAAGACGACAAACTAGGGCTATACGACTTAGAAAAATGTTTGACCAAAAACAATTAAAAACAGGCCTGAGGGCCATGGATTAGAGTCACCACCTTTGGCTTGGTAGCAACTCCTAATCATTTGGTTACCAGTCTAATACATTGCACAAATACAGGTATAATAAACTTAAATCTCACTTAATTTGAGTGTATTTCCAAAAGGAACTAGACCTTGAAATACAAGTTAGTTGTTACGAATAAATGTACATTGATTCTTGAATAAATGTTCTTAAGTAAATGTAGTTAATTTTTTGAAAATAGAAGAATTGGATAAGATTTGCTTTATCTGAACTAATCTCTAACAGAATTATCACTACTATGCTTTATAACTTATAGTGTCTGGGCACCTGCAATACTTAAGTGTGGAGTCATTATTCATTAAGAAAGGAGAGTAAAAGTAGCTATGATAAGGTCTTTGAAAAGACAGGTAATATATGGAATAAGAGGGTTTACTTAATAAGCATGTTATCTAATTATCAACTTAAAAATGTTACCACAAATATTGGACACATTTTCTTTATGTGAATCTTAATAGTTCAGTTACCATCTTCATGCTATGTGTTCATATACTCATGGATTGTATAGTACTTTTGAAGGAACTGAAAAGATAAAATATAATAAGGTGAACTTTCTGCCCTTGATTAGTATTATTTATTTGCATAGAATAGCTACTAATTATAAAATATAAACTGAAGCTGATTTAACAAGCTAAAGAGTAATGACATTAGCGTAAAAACTAAAATGAGCTTGATCCATTTCATGATATTTTCAGTTGCCTTGTAGTTAGACAATGAGTAAGGAAGACCAAAGAAGAATCATTGACTATGAATTGCTGTTGGTGAAGAATATTGAATATACCAGGGACTGCCTGTAGACAAAACAAATATGTCTTGATGGATGTTTGATTTGGGTGTTCCTTACAGGCAAGGCCAGTGAATCTTTATTTCATATAATAGGCAGATTGTCAGAAGGGGATAATCCCCCCTTCCCCCCACAAAAAGACATCATGCTGAGAAGGAAGAGGGTCAGTAAAATAAATTATAACCTTCAATAAAATGAATTGTCACACAGCCATTGTAACAATGTGTTTTACCATGCCAGAGATTGTGAGAGTGAAGCCAGAGAGGGCAAGGTTCTGATTGCTATGAGTCGTAGTCAACTTGACCAGACAAGAATAATAAAAGCATTATTAACTTAGTTATAACGTAAAAGTTACCAAATTGAGAAAAATGTAAAATAAAATAAGTGCCTAAGATCTTACCTCCAAAATGAATACAATATCGAAGATACATCAACTCATTTGTGCATTTTATTTAATTTAACAGAATGTGAAAGGATCCCTTGTGACATAGTAGGTAAGTTTGGGCTGCTGACCAGAAGGTCAATAGTTCAAACTCATTAGAAGATCCTCAGAAGAAAGATGAAGCAGTTTCTTACCATAAAGTTTGTTGTTAAGTGCCATCGAGTCATAGATAACTCATAGCAACCCCAGAATGAAAGACCTAAGCACCTGTATGACTTTCATTGTTTCTCCACATTCATAGAGTTTCTGGATGCAAGCCATTTCGGAAGTGGATGCCACTCCTGCTTCCAAGCTTGTTTTAATTGGGGAGCTTCACAAAACACTGTCCACCATGGGTAACCATTATCGCATTTGACACATCATTGTCACAGTGTTTGACATCACAGCAACTACAGCTCTGGAAATCTTGTGAGTTGGAATTGGAAATCCATGAGCTGGAATTGACTTAACAGTGGAGAATGTATGAAGTCTTTAGCATATATCAATTAATTTCCAAATTCAGTGACACATTATTGAACCCTTATTGTCTGCTATATCATTTTATGACTGTATGAAAAGATTTTTACTTTTTCAATGTCATTATAGTAAAGCAATAATAAAGTTGGATAAAAAGTGTTGCTTTAGTTGAAACACATATATTTACGTCTCATTAAATACATACAATTTTTATAAACTTTTTGTTGTAAAATTATTTACAGACACACATACACACACATAAATATGCATTCTATCCATGTTTAATTTATGACCTTAAAAGGGACTTTTGGTTATTTGAATATACCCTGGTATTTATGAGTTAACATAAGAAAACATTTTGAAATTGATGCAAGGATGTATGTTATATGTAATCTGTATTTACTAATCAAATATGAATATTATTCACGAAACCAACACAGCATCTCTTCCAGGGAAAAGCTTAGTGTCTTATTTCTCTTGACAGTGTGCAGACCTGGGTTCTTCAAAGCCTCACCTCACAGCCAGAGCTGCAGCAAATGTCCACCTCACAGTTATACCAATGAGGAAGCTTCAACCTCTTGTGTCTGTGAAAAGGATTATTTCAGGAGGGAGTCTGATCCACCCACAATGGCATGCACAAGTAAGGAAACCCATGAATATATGGTGATTCTAACTTTCACCAGTTTGAAAAAAAAATAGCATGAATGAACCTTTCATATGCCACTCTCTGTTTTTATGAAAACAGACATAATGCTGAACTCCCAATATAGTTTTTACCAAATTTCAATTTCCTTGAAAAACATTGAAAAATGCTTTTCACTTATTGTTCAAAGAAACAGCTTTCCTTAATTTCAAATTCTAATATCTAAGCCTCACATCTATAAATTTTCCTTTATTCTGTGATGCATTTTAGTGTTTAAAATATTCATATATATTATTTTGCATAGGTCTGCTTCCAGTTCACACTAATGTCTTATTTTTTTAAAAAATAAATTCTTCCTGAGTCAGTATTCTGATCACATAACTATGCAGTAAAAGGCCCCTTCTACTTCTTCATCTAACCTGTCCCATTTTGCAGCAAAGGACATTCATAAAATAATACAGAACATTCTTTAAGAAGGTAGAGAGTTGTTAGTAAGTTAGCTTTAAGTCAAACAGAAAACAGGCCTTTTTATAAGTTAGATGTAAACATTTGTTTCCTTTTAGTGAGTGTCCTTATTTAATATTAATAACATTTTTTGGTCATATGTTTGAAGTAGATACATGTAAAACATTACTGGTTGAAATCCAATTTTTCCAGTGGATGGATCCAATACCTATATAAATATACCTAAATATCTATATACTTGAATATAATCACAACATCTATATGCTTAAATATCTACCAATACTCTTGTCACTTTTTTAAATACTCCACGTGTTTAGGTGAAGAAAACATAGACACACATTTGCCTGATGATACTACTCTAATTTTTTTCTACTGTCACATTCTCTTATGCAAATAAAACAAAATCCTAATAGACAAAAGAAAAGAACACATTTCTTACCTCCTCTTGTATGTTTTTGATTTCTGTGACTGACTTTATTTTACAGTTTTGATTTGCATAAGTTGTATTCTAAGGAGTACTGGTTGCTTAATGGTTAAGAGCTGTGCTGTTTACTCAGAGGTTGGCATTTCTAGCCCCTCTAGAGGCTACAGGGGAAAAAAGAATTGATGACTGTCATAAATATGGAAGTCTAGAAATCCTTATATGCAGTTATACTTCCCTCGTATTAGGTTATGAGTTAATATCAAATTGGCAACAAATTGTGTTAGAAATGTGCACATATGGACAAAGAGTATATGTGAATACAGTCTGTGAACTCAGGTCCTAAATGAGAGTCATGTAAATCTTGAGAATAGAAGTTGTTTCTTACTGTTGTTGACCACTATTTTAAAAAAAATTAGTATTCTTTAAATAAACAATAAATAACAAAATATACTATGAAATAACCATAAACATTTTAAAAACAGTATTTTACTGTTAGGACAGAGCAGGGTTTAGGGCTCTAGTACAAAGGGTCGCTATGAGTCAAAAGAGACTCAATGACAAATAACAACATTTCACTGTTGGGCAAATATGTTTTATGAGGCTATCATTTAATTTACATTACTTATCTATATATTTTAAAAGAAAATATTTTATATCAAGTTTAATGATGTTGTAGGTAACTATTTTATTTGATTTCTAATAATAATTGCTAAACAATTCCTCTTCAAATAAGTGAATGATATCATTAAATATATTTGAATAGAAAAGATAGAAATTATGATTAACTGTGATGTGTATGAGTTGCAGTAGATATTCTTCAGAACAAAAGAATATCCAAATAATTAGGGAATGAAGAAAGGAATCTTGCTAGGCAATAGAGGAGTAAATTAAGAATAAAAAAAATTCTCTTGAATTATCATTTGATTGTCATTAGTTTTTACTATTTTTTATGTACCTCCGGCATGATATTTTTCCTCATAAATGTGGGGCCTCTCTCTGTTAATGTAGTAGCTTTGGTAACGGTTTGAGGGCTATGCTTTAGGGAAAGATATACATCACCCTCACTTAGGACCTGAGTTCACAAACAGAATTCACATTTACTCTGTCCAAATGTGCTGAATTCTAATACTGTTCCGCAAATGAACACTACTAATTTCTCCATCACATGTTAAGACTCATGTATACAATATTCCTAATCAATACTTTCTGAGTGTTTATGTGGTTTTAGTGCAGTATAGTATTACAAATACTACCATTGACCCCTTTGAAGAGATAGATAGTTGAATTGGTATTTGTGTAAAGATATTGGATTTTTATTTTTTTAAAATTTAAATTAATGATTACTTTATTCTTTGCAATATTTTTTTAATTTTGAAAATAGAATTTTATGAATCAGAAGAAGAAAGTGAGAGAAATGCAATTGCCAGTGTTTTGATAATTGTTTTTAAAACAAGTATACTTCTGTAGATCACATACCATATAGGGTATCAATGAGATAGAGTAAATCAATTGCGTTCTTTTTCAGACACATTAATCTGATCTCATTTTCAACTCTGCTTTATTAATTCACTTAAATTTGCATTAAAGTATCAAAACTGCCCCTACTCAAGTGTTGAAGGTTTAATATTAATAAATATCTCTAATATATTTT